TAGGAAGAAGTTGATTATTGTATTTGGCAAATGGAGAGCAGCACAATTGTCATTTTTGTCTTCTTTTGAAATGATGGTGCATTCATTATGCTGAAGTAGAAAGTGGAAGTGCAACTTTAAGATATTCATTTTCCCTAGCCTTTAGGGAAAAGCATAGAGGACCCCTTGCTTTCATTTTTCACCGTGCAGGGAGCATAACACGTAGGGAAGCAAGACTTGGCTGAAAAAAAAAATGCTGCACGGAGGAAATCAAGGGAGGAAGTTTTGGTCATCAAAAGAAGAAGAGAGTCCAGCACGTATCGAAAGTGAAAGAAAGCCAAGGTACTGCAAGTCTTGTGAAAATTGATTCAAGGTCTACAAAAGAAGTCTTCAAGAGGTAAGGTGTCAGACCTCGGAAAACCCCACCCAAACCCCACCTGTCTAATCTCATTAAAAACACCCAAAACCCCTTTGAGCGGACGCCAGGTGTCAACCAGCAAAGTTTCGAAAATCAGATAGTGGAAGGCAGAGGGGTAAAACAAAAGTGATTTTCTGAAAACTCGTAACCACTCTCTTCTACATGCACCTTCTCCTTTCCAAACTCTGACTTTCCATTTCTCCTTCTTCTCTCTAGAGAACCCTCCCTTCTCTCTAACAAAACTCACTCTTTTTCTTCTCCGATCATCATTCAGAGACCGTAGAAGCACTCCCGGCGTCCCAAGCTTCAATTTGAACCGAACAGCTTCGAGTTCTGAAACTGGTAAGTTCCTTACCCTCAGCCGTTCGTTCCTTTGTTACATGCAAACCAAGTTCTGGTTGCATGCAGGGGTATAGTCTAAGTTATTCTTGGATTTTTATGTTGTTCGGTTTAGTTTGGAAAAGTGTTGATCGTTGAGGGTAGAAAGTTGTAGTCTGACGAACCAAGAACCTACATTTAGGACTTTCAATCACGTATCCAGGTAAGGGAAGCTTATTTGATTTAATTCGTATGTTGTGTTTTGTATGAACGTTCGTTATTTGACTGCATGAGTATAATGCATGATGTTTGATGTGATTGAATTGCATGAACGTTCGTTGATTTATGAGTGGGAATGAAATATATGAATTTACATGATATGGATTGTATGAAATGTGGAAGTTGATGTTGGTATGAACGAATGAAACTATGAGGTTGTATGATGAGAAATGAACTGGAATGTCAATGGTTTTGAATAAGAACTTTCCCCATGATAATTGTACGTTCGTTGCTGAACGGTCATTGACCGTTCGGTTTTTTCTAATGAACATAGTTGAAATAGGATTCTTTCATTTGGATAGAACCCTAGTTGAGGACGAGCGTCCTCGTGTTAAAATACTATGCTTGAGCGTTCGGCCAAGCATAGTTGTATCTGGGTAACCTTGATAAACTCCCTTCTTATATATATAAGTGTAATGGTAGATTTCGCCGTTCGTAAACACTACTTCGACAGTCTCTTAGTATATTTATCAAAGTCTGTTATTTTAAGGTTATTGGTGCTCGGTCTTATACCAAGCGCTCGTACTGAGTAGTGCTCGGTCTTATCCCTAGCGCTCGTACGGATAAGTGCTCGGTCTTACACCTAGCGCTCGCTCTAAGTGGTGCTCGGTCTTATACTGAGAGCTCGTACTCATTCTTTGTAAAATTAGTCTTAATGAAATAGCGTACGTCCAACTTCAGAAGAACTTTCTTTTACCACATTCGGTCATTGACTGGCAGTGGATTTCAGTATGAGAACTATTCTAAATATGCTTCGTTAACGTCTTGAGATGTCTACATTCGATGTATTCGGCCTAGAGCCTTCACACTTAAATTATTCTCGGAGTATTGGTTTGAATTCACGAGAGTCAGTTCATTCAACTGATTCACATGGTAAATAACGTTCGTCCAATGAAACAGGACATTACTCGGTTATTCCCAAACGTAATCGTAACTCTATCGGTCGTATTCTGATCCGAACGAGCGTCTTCTTGAACTCGTCCACCGTGTTCGTCCTCGTTCGTAGTGGGGACAGAACGTTCGGTATTTGGTGGTTTTCATATTGATGATAAAAATGAATGTGGAATAGTGAATGATAAATGATGAAGAGTATATAAGATGAAAGAGATGTTGTGACTTTTGAACGAGCGTTCCGGGGAGGAACGACTCTTGGATGACTATTAAGATTTATAAAGTATGACTGTGGTTATGCTAGTGCTGGCAGTTCATCCTGATGTTTCGTGAGTACTCGTCCTCACGTAGAGGAGGGTAGGTCATGTGTGGAAACGGCAGGAGGTCCCGTCCTTAGGGGTACTTTGGATGAATAGGATTAACCTCGCGTGGCAGCTGATGAGAGTATTCCAGTTACTACATCACCCGGGTGCATGAACGCCTGTAGCTACACATATTTCATAGCCTTGGTATGATACGTACGTTGAAATGTTTTTTGAATGTTGAATTGTTTAACTTATATGTTGATGCATGAATTAAATTATATAAGCTTACCTTGTGTTTTCTTTGTGTTGTCTTGTCCTTGTATGTCCGTCTTGTCATTGCAATGATCATCCGTGTGGATGTGAGCAGATAGAGATGCGCTGCTGGAAGAGGCGTTAGAAGAGGAGAACTTAGTCGAAGTGGAAGTAAAGGCCGAGCCGTAAGACGTTCGGTTATTAGATATTAGTTTAGTATGAGGGGATCGTTCGATCACCTCCTCTCTTTCGTTTTACTCTCTGACCGATCGGTATTTTGGCTTTTGTAAGCCGTTCGGTCACGTTTTCCCTAATCTTGTACAGTTTTCTTTTGGAACTTCTTGTAAGGTCGTTCGGCCATAGTTGTACTCTCTGTAAGCGTTAAAACTGACCTGTGTTATTATTAATTGTAATTATTCTATTATATGGTTAAATGCTATATTTTTAGGATGTTACATAAGGGGAGCTAGATTCTATAGATTGTAGGAATAATATGTTTGAGATCATATTATGATTGTGTGATGAATAATTTTGTGTTTAGAGTATCCTTCTTTGATATGAATCCGTATGAGTGATTGCAAATCTGGGAAAAAGGGGTGAAACAATGGGGTTTCTGGGTTTCTGGAAAATCTGGTGCGATTCTGCAGAATTCTGCAGAACGCGCGTTCGTCCAATTAGGGGTCGGACAAAATGAGCGTTCGGTCTTGTATTCAGCGACCGTTAGCGTTCGTCCATGGAGTGTGTTAGTGATAAATTAAACGATCGGTCTTGGTGTTTTAGTTATTGTAGCGTTCGGATTAAATTAGTATTCTCAGGAAGTGATCTTGAGCGTTCGGTATTGGTGAATTATTGATTGTAGTCGTTCGTCCTTAATTTGGGATTCTTAAGTTTGGATCATAGGCGTTCGGTCTTAATTTAATAATCTTAAGTTTGGATCTTGAGCGTTCGGTATTATTATTTGATTAGTGATTGATAGCGTTCGACCTGGATCACGTATTTTGAGCTTTAGATTGTAAGCGTTCGGTCTTGGTGTTTTAGTTATTGTAGCGTTCGGGTTAAAGTAGTATTCTCAGGATTTGATTTAGTGACGATCGACCAAGAATTGATTTAGTACCGTTCGGTCAGTTTTTTATCTAATACTGTTCGGTTAAGTTGCAATCATTCGGCAAGGGTTCTACACGTTCGGCCAGTACTTTAGGTGTTCGGCAAAGTGCTCTAGGTGTTCAACCAAGACTCGAAACGTTCGTCCTTATATTGTTCAGTTAAATGGGTTTCAACCTTAGCGTTCGGCCTCATAGTGTTCTGCCTCATAGCGATCGTTTATAAGGAATGATCTTTATTGGTGATGTTCTGAGTTAGCGATCGTTTATGGGGAGTGATCGGTCTTTATATTTGTTTTGAAGTAGCGGTCGATTAATAGGTAGTGACCGGTCGTGATGATGCATGATTCAGGTAGTGATCATTCATAGGTAGTGCTCGGTTTGGATCATTCATAGTTACTAATCGTTCGTAGGGAACGTCCGGTCTCGATGATGTTTGCCCTCAGATAGTGTTCGTCAGAGATAGTGTTTGGTGAGATTTGATCTTTGAACGTTCGTTCCAATCGTGTTCGAAATAATACTATTTGTTCTAGTAGAGTTCGCTGTCTTAGCGTTAAGTCTGTGCTTGATCTTAGCGTTTGATCTTTTGGTGTTCGACCTAATGGTATCCGGTCGAATAACGTTTTGGTGTTTAGTGTCGAGCCTAAGTGATCAATCTTAACGTTCGTGTAAACAGTATTCGATATAATATGGAGTTCGGTGTTTAAGCGTTCGACCCAGTAGCGTTTAATCAAATAGCGTTCGGCAGATAAGGTTCGGTCAGATAGCGTTCGTCCATATAGTGTTCAGCCAAATAGTGCTCGGCATCGGTTCCAAGGTTATTTGCTCTGGTTTTAAGTGTGCAATGTGTTTTGAATTTATACTCTGAGGTGCTTTATGTGAAAAATATGTGAATGCATGAGATATGATAAATTACTGTGATGAATGTATTTTAAGATGTTGATATGAAATTATGCATCTGCTCATGATATGAGTATTATGGGGAGATTTTGTAATGGTATAATATGAGTTAAGGAATATGAGCATGATATGAGTCTCATGGAGAGATTTTGTATGATATGAGTCTCATGGAGAGATTATGTAATGATATGGTATTAGTGTATATGTTGATGTTGAGGGTTCTGTAGTTGGAGGTTATCGTGATACTCTAATAATCATCCAGTCTCAAGTAGAGACGTGCCGGCTGTGGTAGGTCCAGTATTTCATACGAAAGAGTCGCGGCCAACGAGAAATCGATCTCACGACCGATCGTCCTCTATTCAGCTTACTACTGGACGATCGTTCATAACTTGAACCTTCAAACTCTTCATCCGCGTGCGTCATGATTAGAAAGCAACTGGCGCCCTCCATGATGTCCTCCTTTAGTTGACCGAGTGTCACAGATAACTCTTCTTCTGATTCATCCGGAAACACTAACTTCTTTGCACCACAATCAATGAGAATGTGATTGGCAGCCAATCAATCCATTCCTAAGATCACTTCTAACTCTTTTAAAGGTAAACAGATGAGGTTTACCTTATATCTACGCCCTTCTACCTCAATAGGACATCTGACGCACACTGTAGATGTCCTAACCTCACCAGCCGCTAGGGTTGACACCACCAAGTCGAACTGCATCTCACTCTCCGCTAACCCCAGTTTCTCAACGCACGCCTTCGAGATGAAGGAGTGGGTTGCCCCCGAATCATACAATACGCAACAGGGCATTCCATATAACAAGCAGGTACTGGTTATGAGTGTACCTGAACTGGCAGCTTCAGCGCCCGTTATTGCATAGACTCTTCCTACTGCTTGCGCTCGGCCTCCCCTTCCTGGCTGCATCCTTCCCACGTTTGGTGGCCTCATGACCGCTCGTCCACCCATGTTACACTCGCTGTCCAAATGTTCGTTCCTTCTACAGCGAGTGCAATATTTCTCTCCCGTCATCTGAGGACATGACGATCGGTAATGGGGTCCCCCACATTGAAAACACTTCACTAACCCTTGTTGCCCAGACTGTCTGACAGTGGTTACTGATCGAGACCCCCCAGAATTTGACGTTTGTGTTGGTCGAGTGTATGGCGTTCTTCTCAGATTCACATTGTTTCTAGACGACACTGCGTCCCCCGCACGCACTCTTGTGTCCTCTTTGCCGTTCCACCTCTGCCACGTTCCTTTCTAATACTTTGGCTCTCTCAACCATCATGGGAAAAGACTTGATGCATAAACTGGAGATCAACAACTTCAATTCGCTTCTCAACCCATTCTCAAACTTCCGGCATTGTCACTCCTCGCTCGTAGCCATGGTGTTGAAACGAACCAAGTGCTTGAACTTGTTGGTATACTCAGAAACCGACATACCACCTTGTACTAACTGGAGAAACTCCACCTCCTTAGCGAAACGTACGCTATCTGGGAAGTACTCCTCATAAAACTTGGCCCTGAAGACTTCCCAGGAAATGGGACTTTGAGCGTCCGCCAAGATCATCTTCATGCTCGTCCACCAGTGACTGGCCTCTCCAATCAATAGATATTTAGTGAATGCCAATCTGTTGTCGTCCGGACACCTCTTGGCGTTGTAGATCCGCTCCATATCCCTTAGCCACTGATCTGCCTCATCTGGTAGACACTTCCCATCAAACTTGGCCGGATGATGCTGCAAAAAATTCTCTAAACTCCACTCTGCCTGGTGGGGAGCGTTGGAAGAGGACGCTCCCGATGTGTTCCTAGTAGTTGCAATGATTTCCATCAATTGCCTCTGGGTTGCTTCAGAGTTGGCGCGAGCTGCTTCCAAACTCTGTAAAGCAGCCGCGTTCTGCTGCACCAAGGCAGCGTTCTACTACTGTAGCCTTTCTATTACTGATTCCAACAACCTGGTGTTGTCAGACACATCACGTTCGGTGGTTTGAGGTTGAGGAGGAGGTCTGGGTGCCATTTGTTCTCTGAATAAAATCAGAGAAAAACGGTCGTTAGTTAAGTTCAAAGAGTTTAGAATAACTCATCAAACGGACATTAAGTACACAGCAAAAACCATAGTGACATCATACCTACAGTGCTCATCTAAAAAGAACAAAACTCGCTCTACGATACACATAATGCAGTAACATCCCAAAATACAGTAATCAACCATTACATTAGAAATAATCCTACAATAGTAATATATCAGTTCATTCTTTCACGAATCAAGCGTATAATACTTGCCCGAACGCCGCCCTTACATAGAGCTATAAACAAATTGCTTCCAAAAAAGAAAACATGACGAACGGTCTACAAGTTACCCATTACCGAACGCGTCAAATAGATCCAAAGAAAGAGGTGACCAATTACGATAACCTGCCGCACAACTAAAATATTAAGCACTAGCTTAAAATTAACCAAAACACGGAAGCGCGCCTCCATGAGCTCGCGGCTTAACTTCCACTTCTACGAGAATTCCTCATTTCCTCCAAATTTGCCTTCTTCCAGACGCCCCTTCCAGTAGACGCATCTCCTTCTGCCACCTACCACACGGATGACTATCATTGCACTGACAAGACGGACAGTACAGGACGGAGACAACACACAAAAACACAGGGTAAGCTTATGCTAATTAATTCAAGATTACACAATCATACAATTCAACATCAACACAGAAAGAGAACCCCCCTAACGTTAATGAAACACTCCAAGCCAAAGAAAGCCTAATAACTAGACCGACCCGTCCGGACATGTATGACAATCTGTGTAGCTCAGCTACGAGTTCTGGTGCACCCGGGTTGATTGTAGCTAACTGGAATTATTCTCATCAGCTGCCCACCCGAGGATTAGCTCCTATCTAGCTTCCAAAGATACCCCTAAGAGGACTAGGACCTCCTGCCCGTTCACCACACAGACCTACTCTACCTCTACACATGAGCGACGAAGTACTCAACGCGAACATCAGGATGATATGCACCACCTTTTAGCATTACCACAGTCATACTTTACAACATATCAAATTATTCATCATTGAGTCGTTCATCACCCGAAAAGCTCGTTCAAATCCAAAATACCATTTCATTCATCTCATATACTCTTATCTTTTATAAATCTTCCACTTTATGCCATTTTTATCACAATAATCCCAAGAACGCTCAAAAACGAACGATTCAACCCTCTTCAGAGATCGAGCCCAGTACGAAACGACCAGGAACGAGAACGTGAAATCTCCCTTCAGAATAGCAATAAGACATGAACTGTGCGTCTTACTTTCAGATTAAAAGAAATTGAGCTACGGCACCTACACAATATGTGGACGAAAAAGTTACTACAACATGAATCAGTATAAATGAAATGACTCTCGTGAAACTAAGATTAACCTCGAAGAATATATCCAGTACGGGAACTCTGTCGGAGCCAACGAAGGTTAGACATGCCAAGGCACGATTTTTGAAATACCACGTATTAGAACAATAATACATATATAAGAGATAATGTAGACATGGCGCTCAATGACTGAACACGCGTAAAGGAGTTCTACTGATATTGGACGAACGATTGTTTCATATCACGATTTATATTTAAAATGTTCAACAAGCTGCTCGGCTTGCTAATAGACCGAACGACCAATCATGATGAGAGCGTTGAGTGAGACTATCACTCAATCGAATATAAGATAAAGGAACAATAAATAATAATTATGAAGAAAACACTTGCAGAGACGAGTGATGAAGAATAACAAATATACAAATATATTATTACAAGATTTTCGTCCTCACCTTACATTCAAGCTACATCTATGTTCGAGCCGACAGAGACTCTCAACATAGTAACTATTACAAGAAAAACGCTCGTACCTCCACCAGAACTTCCCGTTTTTTCGTTTTGGCTTCCCTTTTTATCCCAAATGAAAGAATCTCAATTCAACGAGTTTACAAGGAACACCGAGACGGTCAAAGAAGTTCAATGCTCTTGCAACGTCCTATCATAGGCGAAAATTTCTTATTTGAACTCACATTACATTCTAAGTCTATTTCTACTAGCCGCTATAAACTATCATAATTTCATACTTTCCTATCACAGAACATTCATATTATTCATACAGTCAACATAATATTATCATATTATCAAATAATCAACATCACAAAGTCGAGCTCATGACCAACTCACAGAACGTCCATGCCCAACTTAGTAAAACATTTAATTAAATTGAATAAGCTCGCCTTACATCTTACTTGTGGGAAACGGAAGTCCCTAACAAGACAACACGTTAGCCTCGGACTAGGATATACCTATCTACTCTTACGCTCAACTAACTCCCTTATGTAAACTTCAACACAGCCAAAAACAAAAATGGTTCAGAACGTCACAGCATTGAAACCGGATACTTGGTTTGCATTGTACCAGAAACGAAGAGCTGAAGACGCAAGAGATTTACCAGTTTCAGAACTTGAAACCTAATCGACGTCTCGGATTTGAAGCTTGCAGGACGCCGGAGTATTTACCTACGGCTGCCTGTGAACGGTGATCGGTGGCAGAAAAAGGTCAGTACAGTAGAGAGAGAAAGAAGGTTTTCTAGGAGAGAAGAAAGGAGAAATGCAAAAGTCAGAGTTTGCAGAAAAAATGGGGGGGGGGGGGGGGGGGGGGGGGGGGGGGGGGGGGGGGGGGGGAGGGGGGGAGTAAGAGCAAGAAGTAAAAAAGAGGGAGGAGTAAAAAGCAAAGCGGGGGGGAGGGGGGGGGGGGGCGGGGTGGGGGGGGGGGCGGGGGGGCAGGCGGGGGGGGGGAGGGGGGAAGAGGGGGTGGGAGGGGCGGGGGGGGGGGGAGTGGGGGGGGGGGGGGGGGGGGGGGGGGGAGACGGGGGGGGGGGGGGGGGGGGGGGGGGGGGGGGGGGGAGGGGGGGGGGGGGGGGGGGAGCGGGGGGTGAGGGGGGGGGGGGGGGGGGGGGGGGGGGGGGGGGGGGGGGGGGGGGGGGGGGGAGGGGGGGGGGGGGGGGGGGGGGGGGGGGGGGGCGGGGGGGCGGGGGGGGGGGGGGGGTGGCGGGGGGGGGCGGGGGGCGTGGGGGGGGAGGGGGGGGGGGGGGGGGGGGTAGGGGGGGGGGGGGGGGGGGGGGGGGGAGGAGGGGGGGGAGGGAGGAGAGGGGAAGGGGGGGGGTGAGGGGGGGGGAGGGGAGGAGGGGGGGGGGGGGCGGGGGGGGCGGGGGGGGGGGGGGGGGGGGGGAGTGGGGGGGGGGCGGGAGGGGGGGGGGGGGGGCGGGGAGAGGGGGGGGGAGGGGGGGGGGGGGGGGGGGGGTTGGAGGGGGGGGAGGGAGGGGGGGCGGGGGGGAGGGCGGGGGGGGGGGGGGGGGGGGGAGGAGTGAGGGGGGGGAGGGGGGGGGGGGGGGGGGGGGAGCGGGGGGGGGGGGAGGGGGGGGGGGGTGGGGGGGGGGGGGGAGGGGGGGGAGGGGGGGGGGGGGGTGGGGGTGGGGGGGGGGGGGGGGGGGGGGGGGGGGGGGGGGGGGGGGGGGAGGGGGGGGGGGGGGGGGGGGGGGGGGGGGGGAGGGGGGGGGGAGGGGGGGGGGGGGGCGGGTGGGGGGGGGGGCGGGAGGGGGGGAGGGGGGGGGGGGGGGGGCGGGGGGGGGGAGGGGGGGGGGGCGGGGGGCGGACGGGGGGGAGGGGGGGGGGGGCTGGGGGGGGGGGGAGGGGGAGGGGGGGGGGTAGGGCGGGGGGGGGGGGGGCGGGGAGGGGGAGGAGGGGGGGGGGACGGGGGGGGGGGGGGGGGGAGGGGGGGGGGAGGGGGCGGGGGGGGCGAGGGGGGGGGGAGGAGGCGGGGTGGGGGGGGGGGAGGGGGACGAGCGATGGCGGGGGGGCGGGGAGGGTGGGGGGGGGGGGGGGGGGGGGGTGGGGGGGGAGGAGGAGGGGGGGGCGGGGGGGGGGGGGGGGGGGGGGGGGGCGGGCGCGGGGGGGGGGGGGGGGGAGGGGGGGGGGGCGGGGGAGGGGGGGGGGGGGGGGGGG